TGCCTGTGCAACACGGGCTGGCCAAGCCGGTGGGATGGCTGCCCACCCAGCCGATGGTGGAGATTGATCCAGGATCTCCCAGAGAGAAAAACGCCCATTATCTGCAGTTTGAATTAAAAACAAGTTATGTAAGGGATGGATTCCTGTCTTCTGTTCCTCAGGCACAGTTCAGTCACGTTACGCACTCCCTGTGGCTCATAGTAGGCTTTCACATTCTTGGAAACGCGGCCTCACAGACACATAGCAGCGAGACAGACCCGTGGGCTTGTGTGGAGAGAGGTTTCGTGACGGACCTGCGCTTGGCTTGGCGCAAACCGGGAAGGGCTGGCAGAGGTCGCTTGTTTACTTTCTGTTATTACCGTCAATGAAGGATCATTTCGGAGTTTTTTTCCTGATCGGGGCCAGACTGCTGAGCGCTTCCTTTGCTGTTGCAACGAGCCCTGCGGTGCCTGCCCCGCCGGCAGCAGTCCTGGGCTGCGCCTTCGTCCGAGAACTTGGCAGGAGCAACAGCCGTACTCCAGCAAGGGAGAGCCACGGGAGGGCCGAGGGAATCAGAGCGGCGCTGCCAGGTAAAGGAATATGCTGTCACCTTGCTGTCCACTCAGCTAGTGACTGTTCCTGCTGGCCTTACTGTGGTTTTCACCTTTTCAGCTGGTCTCCGGTTTCTACCCCACTGTTTCCACTGACTGAACTTGGGTCCAAACCAGGGCAGAACATTCCTACACCTTTACAGCCAGCTTCCATTGAGGATCTCCCAGTCCCAGAGTACAGAGTGTCTGAGAGTTTTGTGTAGGTACATTCTGAAATCACCCCTTTGTGATCCAATACGACTCCAAGGAAATAAAGTAGCTTGTTAATAAAGACCAAGAGTAAAAAATAAAAAATAAAAAAAAAAAAGAAGAAGATTTGGCAGATGGCTGTGAGAAAGATATTCAGTGTTCTAAGAACAAGTCAGCGATCAAAAACTTCAGGGTGCTAAACCTGGCTCTGCCACCAACCCCCATGGTTCCTCTCAGTTTAGGACATCTTGGTTTCCCCTCCTATAAAACGGGGGGAAAACCACTAAGATTTACTTACCTTAGAGTGATCAAAGGACATGTGATTCTAAAGCACTTTGAGGAGGAAGAAAAACTGCCTATTTCCAGCTGGCATTGTGTTTTCCACTTAGTGGAGTCTCAGCTACCCGCGAGTTTGGCTCAGGAAGGTCTGTGTATATATCAAGTTGCCGAGCCAAAAAGCCCATTTCAGATTTCACACGTGCAAGTGGAAATAAGGAGGGATGTCCGGGAACCGACAGCGCTTCACTGGTGCAAAAAAGAGAATCAGGCCAAACCATGAAAATTCCTCCTTCCTTTATGTTCAGAGGTGATCATCAACCCCCCCCCCCCCCCGAGACTCAGCATGTTCTGGTTTGTTCATATTCCCATGGGTTTGGGAGCAAGATTTGCAAGCACAGCAGAGTCACTAATTTGACTGTGTCTGGCATTGTTTTGGAGAGACTCACGGTCATTCTACAAGTCCACAAGAAACAAGTGAAAAATGTAACTCTGCACTCAACACACACATACACAGAGTGTCGCTGGAGAAATAATAGTGGCTGTTAGGTGCTGGTCAATGGAAGTAACTGAGAATGCTGGATCTGAGTTTCTCCTGCATGACTGATAACAGTTGCCTTGGGCTGGACGCTGCGTTTCAGCGGCTGAGGGGCAGTGGTGCTGGTAGCGCCATGGGCAGATGAGGAAGAGTTCGCGCAGTCAGTACTGAAAGAGGATGACCTAGTGAGAAAAACGGGAACCCAGCGTTAGCTCCTTGCAGAGGCAGGCAGCCCTCGCAATGGGGGGGTGGTTTCGGGGGACCGACACAACAGCCACGTGCCCTGCTGTGGCAGGGGCTGCCCCGCGGAAGGACCCTCTCTGGAACCACCAGCGGTCTGCCCGGGAGCTGCCAGCCCTGCCCGCGGGACGGAGCCGGCCGGGGAACAGAGCCCAGGCGGGAGGTAATGGGACTGTGGGAGCGCACAGCCCGAGAGAGGGGTGCAGCCTCCGGGCACACCTTTAGCTGCGAAACCGCATCATACTGGGCAACACACTGAAACCAGTATCCCATTTATTTGTGGCTACCCAGAAAAATGAAGACTGTTACCAACGGTCCTTCTCTATCACACTACCAACTCTATCCACCTCGCTTGTCAATCAGCACAGGCTTCCCTCAAAGAGCTACACCCCGCTGCTCTGCAAATACAGCGTCTGTCCTTGCCAGCAGTCAGCGGGAGCAGCCGCTGAGCTGG